CACCCCACCCCACCCCGCCACACCCTGCTCGTTGCCAGGGCAGAAGGAAGAGATTGCCTTCCTATCGTCCTGCGAGAGCGCGCCGCCTGTCGCTATCTGCCAGATAGGAACTCCGCGCGCGCCGAGCCGATGTACAGCGCCGTGCGTTCTCTCCCACCCCGCGCCATCCGGGATCACATAATATTTTGTGGTGCAGCCGCGGGAAAGAAAGTTGTATTTTACGCGCAGCTGCGAGCGGGCGGGAGGGGCTGGCTTATTCGAGTTCGATTTCCAACGCGCGGGCGGGTTATCTACACCTCCCTTCCTTTTCCTCTCGGACCCCGCGCGCCGCACGGCACGGCCGCCTGGCGCTCGGCCTGGCCATGCCCCTCGCGTCGTTTTGCGAGTGTATTTTTAGCCATTGATTCTCCGCGAGTCCAAGGGGAGCCCCCCGAGTGCGTGCGCTGCCCCGGCGCCCCTCTGGCTCTCCCCTTGGCGCGCTCTCTCGCGCTGCCGGAGGGATGGCCGGGCGCTGCTGGTCGTGCAGCTCGCCCGTCTCGCTTGCACCCGCTGCAGGTGGGCTGGGCAGGGGCGGGCGCAGCGAGCACAGCTCCCAGACCAGGCACTGCTTCGCACCAGGGCGGCTAGACGCTATCGAGCGGCACCGGCGGGGCCGACACGGCGGCGGCACGCCACGGGGCGGTACTCTTTCCCCCTCGCTTCCTCTGTTACATTTTTGTTTTTCGCGCTTCCCTGCCCTTCCAGTCTTTTTGACACGCCGCGAGTTTTGCAGGCGACCTCGACGGGGGAAGTCCGGCGGGCGAGGCGCACTTGCTGCGCCATACTCTGCGCAGCCGGGGGGAGAGGGGCGAGGGTCTTGTCGCAATTTTTGGGCGTTGGCTTGTTTCCGCGAGCGGAGCGCGCGGGGCTTCATTTCGGGCCGTGTGGAAGGGAAGGGATGGGGAACTCGATTTATCCACTGTTTAGGGTGAGGCGCGCGGGACTGCGCTGCTGCGGGCTGCGCTGCTGCGGGCTGCGCTGGGGGGTAAACAAAACTGTCCACTGCTAATCGTATAGCCGATACCGACAATGGGTTGGCGAGTGTGCGAGCCGATAGATCAACTGTTCATCACTTGGTAGTGCACTTGCATGCGTACAACTCCGCGGTCGTTCGCTCGTTGGTATTCGGTAGAGTAGCTGAACAAGTGCACAACTACGCGGAGTTGAGCATGAAAATTTCAGCTGAACAGGAACACTTCCAAGTGTTTCCCGGTTGAACATTTTGGTCTAGTGCAGTGTGAGCGTGAGGACGAGCGCGCGCGCCGCTCTCAGCTGACGTGACGTGCGCCTCTCGTGCCGCGGGCGGGGCCCAGCCGGCCACCCCTGGAGGGCCTAATGGCGGGGCGGGTCCCGGCCGGCCCGGCTGACGCTCGGCTGACCTTGGCGCGCGAGTGTATATCGATTGTGTGCCGCACGTCGAGCCGCGCCGGGCATATCGAGTCGTCGACACGAGGGTGCGAGGTGCGAATGGGCGTGTGTCGGGCTGGTGTTGGCTTGCGGGTGGCGGCCCGGCCCCCAACCCCGCGGCGAGTGGAGTGTTGACCAACAGTGAGGCGCGCCCAGGGGGTATCGATTGGGCGACCGGTCCGCTTCATTATCACTGTGTGGCGCAAGGGCAAAGGGGACGGAGACAGCCCGCCATGGCCCACCCCGCCCCGCC